CTTCACGGCAGAAATAGGCGGGGCGGTGGTACCTACCCGTGCGGACTCACAAGAGGTCCTACCACCAGTAATTACGCAAATTATAATTTTGCAGGTTACATTTTTATTACACGATGTTATTCCTTCACCGTGGAAGTCAATCGTGAACATTTGTTGAGTACGTATTTCATTAGAAAAATTGGTACCCGCCTGCGGGATTCGAACACCGGTGCATCGCTTCAACACGAATGCACCGGACGTCTTATCCGTTAGGCCACGACGACTTACAATATTATCTTATATATTTTTCAATTCTATAACAACATGTTCTAACTGGGTAGCCAGTCGCAACCGCCATTCGAGCAGCTGAGGACAGGACGAGATGGAAACAGCTCATGAGACAGGCAACGGTCAAGTTTCAGGGACACAACCTTCAGCAATGAAGAAAGCGACGAAGAAGAAGAAGAAGAACAACATGTTAATTGATATTTATTAATTTATTCGTGAGGATTATGACTTTCAATTTTAGATAGTCCCAGGAAAAATAATGATCCGGTTAATTAGTTTCTAAATAGTTTTTTTTTATGATTGAAAGATTACTGGTGGCCCGGAGGCCTTTCCAGCTTCACCAGGACAGGTGGGCGAGCAAAGGCTCAGCCAGGAGGGGTGGGATTTGCTAACAACTGCCCGAGCGCCTCCGAAGGAGACCTAACAACTCAAGAGCAATTGCTTCGCGAATGAATCTACTACCGGATCGGAATCGCGACCCACTGAGAAGATCCGGCGAGAAACTCAGCGGGCTAATGCATGGGTTAGGTTGCACGTCGACCTCTTTGTCGAGTTCGACGAGTACGGTTACCGGGGTTCCTCAGCCTGCTCCTAGTGTTAGAGCTGAAGGTATCTAATGCAAGAGTTATTGGATCTGATGGATCCGTAAGGACGTGTCTAGGGCGACGACGGTGGCTTGCTCCTGCGTGATCAGGATTTGGGGGAGTAATCAGCGGCGGCAACGATAAGGCGATTATCATGACGCATAGCCTTATCGAAGTAACGTTCCGACACTGACTCATGTGTTTAAGTCGTCGTGTAGGTCGACGTTCCTCACGAACCACGGAGCCCCGACGGCTAACCTGCAAAAGCGGGATTGTAGGGACTGGAGGGTGTCTATATGTGTACGGGCCGCGTGAGCGAACACCACACTCGCGTAAGTCATGACGGGCCTTATGCAAGTTTTGTAAAGTGTCACCTTGTTCCGAAGTTCTAAATAGTCTGACTGAAGACCAGCAGTAAAAGTCTTTATTCCGATCCAAGCACTCTCCGCGTGCTGACGTGATCATTGTTCGTTCGATCGCCCGACTTCGGTTCGTGGCACATCTGGCATCCAAGTGTTTTCTCGGAAGTACCTCGGAAGCACTACCTGTGCTAATTGCGTCGCACCGCCGTTTGTGAACGGGCGGATCCCTAAATTCCTGGAATTCGTTCGGCAACTTAGTGGCTCGTTTGTAAGCGGACGGTTATGTGCCGTAATTAATCGCGATTATTATAAAATTGGGGCCTCGCCGTAAGGCGAGTGTGTTTAAAGTCCCGAATAACCGCCCCTGGGCACGTGACAATTACAATGGAGTCCACGATCGATCTGTTCGCAGAATTCCTCCGTCTGAGGTACCCGTCATTATCGGCCGAATTTTTAGAATTTAAGGCCAATCACGCCGCTAACTCAAATCGCCGCGTCGCCCGCCAAAACCGCCTCTGAGCTTCCGGCCCAGACATCAAAGCCTCGGCACCCTCTGTGTCGCAGGCTAAGCCAGCGTTCGTTCCGGCGCCGGTGCCCAGGGTCTTGGCCTGGGCGAAACCGCTGCCGTACACAAACACGGCTACAACTCCCTCCCCCGCGATTCGTCCCGCCCCGCGTGTCGTCCCTCCCCTACAAATTGCCCTCCGACAGCGTCCGACAATCTCGCTTTAGGGATCGACTTCTTTCAGACAATTAACTTTGAGCGCGTTAACGCTTTAGGCGATGCCATCCGCGCCGCCTCCGCTGCACAACACTTCATCGCCGTTGTGCAAGAATACGCCGACGTATACGCGTTGTTAATACGTACGTCCTCTCCTCACTCCGCCGGTAATCAATGGCGTACGATAGTAGACTAAAACCCCTATACGTAGTACGTACGTACGTATAACGATAGGATTTTTTAACGCATACGGTCTCGCAAATTAACGTGATCAGGTTTGTGATTTTTTGCGTGACCATCAAATTGACATAATGATGTAGCACGCGGGCGTTGGCACAGAATCCTATATTTTATTTGCGTGGCTTACAAATGGAACAATGATTCATCTAAGTTCCATGAACACATACATTTTTTTATTTAGTTATAAACTGTCTTTTAACCTTATCATCAACAATACTTTATGTTTGGATCTTAAAATATTAAATTATAAACCAATTTTTTTTTATCAAATATAAAATGGTTGCCTATTTTATATTTTCAATAGAATCGAAGCAACAGATTTTTTAATTTTTTTAATTAAGACGTATAACGAACCGTGGCTTTTACCGTCTTTTTGGAGAAACTATGTCTGGAGACAGAGAAAAAACAGCAGATTGGACACGAAAAAAGACAAAAATTATCACTGCAAAAGAGACTTCGAATCTTTCTAACCTATTCGTTAGTAGCCAAAGAGGCTATTCTAGCTTCGCGCAGACGCGTAGGTGAGCTCAGGAGCTCAACATGAGAGAATTGACCTCCAGAGAATATCTATTATTTCTATTTGACCTCCAGAGAATATCTATGAGTTAAAATTCGCCCGTTAAACTCTTTGTTGTAATTGTCGAGTTCGACGAAGACAGGTTAAAAAACTCGCACTAAATACATTAGTGTACCTACTTGTATCGAACGACGTGATTGCGTCTGTCTTCAAATCCCATAGGCAGGTCCCACCTTTTCTGATGAAATACATATATAACTAATGTGCACAAACCTCAGGGTGGGTGATAGTGTCCCGTTGTAAACATTTATGGATTCTTAACACCATGTTATAAAATAAATCTACACTAGTAAATGTCGCGACAAGACTTCATATTTTATAAGTTGTTTAATGTACCTAATAGATTGATGCGTTTAATTCTAGCGAGGTGCCAGCTTTGTACCGTATTTCATATTTATGGTTCACTGCGCTGGGTTGTATTGTGACCGTAACGATGTNAGTGTCCCGTTGTAAACATTTATGGATTCTTAACACCATGTTATAAAATAAATCTACACTAGTAAATGTCGCGACAAGACTTCATATTTTATAAGTTGTTTAATGTACCTAATAGATTGATGCGTTTAATTCTAGCGAGGTGCCAGCTTTGTACCGTATTTCATATTTATGGTTCACTGCGCTGGGTTGTATTGTGACCCTAACGATGTCATGTTTAGTTTCGTTAAGGACTTCGAATAAAGTAAAACGTGACATAAGAACATTTGCTCCTGCTATTAGGAAGTACTTAAACAAACGGGTGAGTGTTTTATTTTTCATTTGTTATAATTGAGTGGAGTTCTTTTGTTTTTGTGTTCCACTATTGTTTTTTTGTTTTTCTCTAAAATTGTATATTAGTCTTATCGATTGAGGCACTAAAAGACCAAAACTTTTGTATAAAATAAACTTAAAACAAACAAAAGGAATCAGTCCGACGGGGGACACATCAAAGGAAAAACAAAATTGTTATTTTTATTTAATTCCGAGCATTTTCATATCTATCTATCTACCTTTTAAACCTTCTCTGGACTTCCACAAATAATTCAATACCAAAATTTGCCAAATCGGTCCAGCCGTTCTCCAGTTTTAGCGAGACTAACGAACAGCAATTCATTTTTATATATATTAATCATTAATTAATTAATTAATTATTTACTTTCAGGAACAAAACGATTTCAGCATGGACGAGAAATGTAGATTTAACATTATACCGGAAGCCTTCAATTGATACTATGATACTTGTAGATAAACATTGTACATATAATAAATAAGTTAACATTTTTAGTTTTTCATTTTGATAGTATTAGTTGAACCAGATCAGTCCACAGCGGATATGATGTTAAGCCGTTACTGAAGTCTATCATCGCAACTACTACTAATAGCCGCTTCCCTTATGTCAAGAAGATACTTCATTTATACTAAGATCAATATTTTTTTAAGAATGGCCCTCAACAAAAACATATTATAATTCACAGTTTTTTTAACGCAATCCCAAGAACTAAATGGTTATGTAACGATATTCATAACTCAAACAATTTAAAGTGTAACTAAGTAGAGTAATATTTTAAAAACGTAAAATTCTTTATAAAACTATTCAACAAAAACCTAATGTTACGTAATGACCGTGACAGCAGTGAGTACTGTTTAAAATCGTTTAGGTAATTGAAAATGCTTAATGATATCTTCCTTATCAAAATACACACAATTTTTCCTCTTGACTGATATTTGTTGTAGTTACTTAAAATCGTGTTAATTGCTTATTTATGATTACAATAAAATATGGTGAAGGTTGTTATTACCTACAATTTGTTTACGATAACTCGATCTTCCATAAGTCCATAGGATGCAAGATAAGTTAAGCGATAGGTTTCATGCTAATGCTTCTAGAATGATTTGCTTTAAGAATCGTTTGGTTCGATATTAATAGAGATGTAACAAGCATCTACTTAATCATGAAAAACAAACTTAATTAAATTAGACTTTCATCTACTATCGGATTTAAGTACTATTCACTATATGTATACAAGGTACTATTCGATAGTTTTTCTTATAATACTTGATTCATATTGTTTTACCGATAGAGGCGACGTGCATACTGAGTGACCATTATGTTTTAAGCAATAAAAAAGGTATAATTTAAATTCATATACCATTACATAACACCGATTATTAAAATCTGTTATTGCCGCTGTGTTTACAATAATTATAATTGTATCATAATGATGTGAATTGTTAACAAGTAGGTAAGTGTCATTAATGAAAAACAATGGATGTTATCGTCGAATTTTGCTTTATTTGATTAACAGATATCGTATTTTTAGAAAGGCCAACTGCTGCCAGTTCTGAGTCCGTAGATTCCGTTTCTGCAATAAAATATGAAACAAAAAAAATTTATTAAAATTTGAAAATAACAATAATAAGCATTTCGATTCATTTCTAATGTTTTAATTTAATACATTCTATGGTAGGTAATAAGTTAATATAGTAGGTAAAAAGTAATTACAACTTACCCGCGCTTACCAAATACGGCATTACCCATGTTGAAGGTACCTCCAGAGCACTGATTGTTCTGAGCCTGATTGAGGTTGTTACATAGTCTGCCAACGAAACGATTGTGACGAACAGTGGAGGCGTACAATTCGTAGGCTCGACTGTGAGAGCAGGTACTAACTCTGCAACCCGGTTGGGGGTTTCTGCCACCGTTGGGGTAAAAGTCACCATGAGCAATGCGGTCAAAAATACCGAGAAGACCACCGTCGGTGTGGATTGCCTCCACATAAGCTCCTGCGTTACGGTTCAGGGCTTGGTTGTTACCACCCCACCTGGGCCCAGCCGGATCCAAACCTGGAAATTTAATGTATTGTTATAATGGTGACATAGTATGAGATTTGTTGGGAGCCTACGAAACATAGTGCTATTAAAATGGTCACTCTACCCCTGATAATGGCGCATTTTTTTTGTAATTTTTCTTAAATTGTAACAATCTTTAACTTATAAGTATTTATATATACAAGGAGACTCACAGCACAAGATGCCGATCGCACCTTAAAATGACAGCACACTATGCACATCAATGGCCTAGAGTTACTAATTGTGTGCGATGATATTTGATATTCATATTAGCTTGTTATATCTATGTTTGAATGTTATTCGGTCTGCGGGTTTTCCTAAGCTCGTCTAGAGTGCACCGTAGCCCACTGAGTTTCTCGCCGGATCTTCTCAGTGGGTTTCTCTGAGGTTGAACTGTAAGCTCACCTACCCATCCGCGCATACCTAAAATAGCCCCTTAGACTACTAGCGATCAGGTAGCGCCGTTAACTCACACTCAGTATATTTTTTATTCCATAGACGGATGAACAAGCTCACGGCTTTGAATGACTGCAACACTTTTCCGCCCGATAACGGCGATATAAAGCGGATAGCGAAGAGCTCACTCTGTGGCATTCGTTTCTGCAAGGTTGTGGACTCGCAAAGATCGAGCATTACCTTGTAATCGCTTTAAGTAAATGAAGATTATTGTTCCTTTTTGCGTGACAAGAACGGTTACAATATATTTATGGTTAAATTAAATTGATACGGCTTTCCGTTTGTTTGGCTTAGGCAATAATGTTGTTTCGGTTCACAGAGCGATTCCATTACGACAATTTCCTAAGTTATAAACAAACTAACCGGTAACCCTGTTGGGTCTGCCACCAGCCTGTCGTCCAGCGTTACCGACAACGTGCGCGCCCAAGCTGAAGCCAATCAAGTGGACTCGACCCCAATTGCCGCCTCCGTTGTTGATGAGCCAGACCAAAAAGTTGCCAAGGAACTGTCCGACACTGGGAACTCCATTGACGGCAGTGTTGTATAGACCGTTGGCAAGACCACGCCAATCCACAACAATAACGTTGCAGTCGGAAACTGCCAACAAGGCGGGGCGGATCATGGTGTTCACAGCGGAGTTTCCGTTGCTGTTCCAGCCGTGGACAATAACAAAGAGAGGCAGGTTTCCATTGTAGTTCGAGTTCCGGATAGAGTTGACATTGCCATTTGTAATAACTTGATGGTTGTTTTGGTTACGTCTGCGAACAATTTGTAACAATTTTCAAAATGCTATATTAAATACATATACATGTATGTATATACAGTCAAAACCGTTTACTGCGACATCGTTTAATACAACATGCCGGTTATAATAACCAAGAACAAAGGTCCCGGCTGAATGCCATATGACCGCCTTATTAAAAATATTGCTTTCTACGACATTGGTAATAACGACATACCTCATAAAACAACCACATTTAGCTAATATTTCGGAGAATTAGATCTGTTAGAACGACCGGCTAAGCTGTATTGTAAACAATTTGAATAGGCATTCACATTTGTCTTCGATGGCTTTTAAATCAAGAAAGAAAACAATAGGATTTAGTTTAGTGTAGGGTCTTTTCTAATTCTTAGAAACAAAACACGTGCATGCGGTAGTCAAAGCCCGCTTCTTTATATCTCTTCAGTCAGTTTGTTACTTATCTATAGACAAGACGCACCAAAACTTTGTGGAGTTATTCGTGAAACTTTCAAAATATCGCAAAGAAAAAGAAAACAAATTAATATTGAAGAAAAATCGCGTATTATTTAAATATATTTTTCCAATAATTCCCTATCGATTTGTTTGTACTTGCACGTTACACATTAAGCATCACCAGTTGTTACGACTATCGGTTTTTACGACTGAATATGAGCAGTCCCTTCGATGTCGTTATAACAGATTTTGACTGTATATAACTTTATACCTTATACTTTTAATATGGTCTTGCTATATAACGGATAAGCTTATAAGCACGACAACGTGTTAGGCGTGTTTGGGAATAAGCAATCGACAGTTTATTTTAATGTAAAGTTATATAATTTATTATAGTTAGTTGTCAAGGATAGTTAATAATTTAAAATGATTTTTTAATCTTCAAAATAATTAATGCTCGACTTACCTGGTGAAAAGCCAGTATTGGTTGTTTGCACCGTTCCTTGACATAAGGATGTCTTCCTCAGCCGGTTCGTCCAAGTCGACGAGGTGAGGAACACCCTCGCCATCAGGCATCCAAACGTAACGGCTTACACCTTCCACATAATGACTGTTGTCTCCAGGGATCATGGGGATAGCATTGCCAGAAGACACTAAAATAAGAAAATTTTAATTTGTTTCAACGTAGACTAATGACAAATCAACTCTTTAGTTTATTGAATTCTTTTAAACGACCAGAAAATAGTAACCGTAAGATATAGGAGTTTATTTGTGTTGCAATGTCGAGTGGACATATTATTAGCTTTCTTAATACTCAAACAGTAAAATGTGGTTTATTGAAAGTTATAGAGAGAAATTGAACGGAATATTAGGTAAAAATATACCCGCGATAATCGATTATTTCAGATAAATTTCAGAAAATAAATGTCGAATTTTATGTTATGATCAATGGAAAGAATTGAACTATTTGTGGATTCTTTAAAATGTAAATAATAATACCATGATCTTATGAATATTTAAATAGGCAAATACAAAGCAATTTCCTTTTATGTTACTGAGGGACTGCTGACGAGCTTTAATAACAAAAATGTAAGCTGTCTTTTTAACACGATAATAACAAAACTAAAAGAAATTGCAATACAAAAATGAATTTACTGAGATGTCAGTGATTATGATCGACCATTGGGTGGCAATTAAATATCCTGAGATGATTTACAATTATGTGATATAAGATGATAATGCAAAAGTGGAACTGGTGAAAAATGGTGGGATACTAACATGCTATTAAGCCAGCCAGCACTAGGAGGAGCTTCATGTTGCTCGCAATCGTGAAATATGGGAGCCGGCAAGAGTATTTATTCATAATTCATTATCTAATCAGATGTGGGTGCTGCCTGTAAGACCCTACGATTATGTAGGTACATGTTCTTTATCTTCAGATCATATTGACGCAATATGTTAAATAATAATAATTTTAGTTATTATATTGTTTTTATTTATTCAATTCTATAACAACATGTTAATTGATATATATTAGTTTGTTCATGAGGACTATTACTTTGAATTTTAGACAGTCCCAGGAAAAATTATGACCCGGTTAGTTAGTTTTTAAACAGTCTGACTGAAGGCCAGCAGTAAAAGTGCAATATTTTACAAATAGCGAAAAAAGGTACGTTACATTGTTTTATTTAGTTATAAAACTTTCTTTTAACCTTATCGTCAAAAATACTTTATGTTTAGATTTTGAAATCTCAAATTATAAAACGATTTTATTTTACCAAATATAAAATGGTTGCCTTTTTTATATTTTCAATAGTCTCGAAGCAACAGATTTTTGAATTTTTTTACTAAGCCATCTAACGAACCGTGGCTTTTACCGTCTTTTTGGAGAACCAATGTCTGGAGATAGAGAAAAAACAGCAGTTTGGACACGAAAAACACAACAATTATCACTGCAAAAGAGATTTCGAATCTTTCTTACCTTTTCGTTAGTAGCCAAAGAGGCTATTCTAGCTTCGCGTAGACGGGTAGGTGAGCCCACGAGCTCAACCTGAGAGAATTTGATCACCAGGGAATGGAGTTACCGTGTCTAATTCTGGATAAGACATTAGCAGTGGTGTCGGGAGGGCCCCTTTTGAAGTGCACGTCTGTGCTTTTCGCGGGGTGATGTCGATGCGCCACTTTCGGAACCCCTGTCCTAAATTAGTGGCCGCGATCTGCATCTGTTTACTATGTTTTTTCTGTTCCTGTTTTATCTGTTTACTATGTATGAACGATATCTTCCTACTCGAGTAGTAGATAGCTTTATCATCAGCGAAAAGGTTATGCTTCGAATACTTAGAAGTTTGGACCTTATGTGATGTTTTGCGTGTGGTCGATATAGACTTGACTTCTAAGTCTTATAATTGATTTTAAGGTTTACAGGCAATACTGCATGCAAAGGTTAGTCACTAAGCATTCATAACCTTGAATTTGTTGTTCATGACGCGTTGAATCAATCAAAGCATAGTACTAATCCGACATCGTGGTGACTTAAGATTAACGATATGATTAAAGATTAGCAAGCCTGACACAACACATTAATTAATGTCGATTGTTAAAAATAAATGAAACGGAAATATTATTCATTCACAAAGCAGTGTTTTGTTAAAATTGACAAGGACGAACCTGTAAATGATTTTTCAAAATCTATCACATGTTTCACCTTTTTTTGAACGACTGAAAAATGGTTCATACAACGTTTTCCATTTTCGTTTAAAATCAATTCCTTTACGAGAGCTGATAAACTAAGCAAAGCGATAATACAAAACTACAAAACTAATATATTAAATAATGGGTGTGTAATGGATATTGCTTAGAATAAGTTGATAGCCCGGGCCTGGAGTTGGACTTCCTCAAGCCACTTCTTCCTCCCCACCCATGTTCCAGTTTACTATACTCTGGCCACTCCTATGAATTCGTAATTATACGTTGTATCTTCGAAATATCGAAGTGGTGGTAACGTAGCGGAAGTTTTCATATTCAAAAAAACACGATGAACATGAACACCCGTTAAATACTTTTCACAGATACAGGTGGCAGGACCTCTTGTGAGTCCGCACGGGTAGGTACCACCACCCTGCCTATTTTTGCCGTGAAGCAGTAATGCGTTTCGGTTTGAAGGGTGGGGCAGCCGTTGTAACTATACTGAGACCCTTAGAACTTATATCTCAAGGTGGGTGGCGCGTTTACGTTGTAGTTGTCTATGGGCTCCAGTAACCACTTAATACCAGGTGGGCTGTGAGCTCGTCCACCCAATATAGATTTGGACCTAGAATACGATTGGAAACACGCTATATATTGGCGTCGCTAAGCGCAATAGTCAAAGGACGCGTCGAAAGCATTTGAATATTCGATCNTAAAAATAAATGAAACGGAAATATTATTCATTCACAAAGCAGTGTTTTGTTAAAATTGACAAGGACGAACCTGTAAATGATTTTTCAAAATCTATCACATGTTTCACCTTTTTTTGAACGACTGAAAAATGGTTCATACAACGTTTTCCATTTTCGTTTAAAATCAATTCCTTTACGAGAGCTGATAAACTAAGCAAAGCGATAATACAAAACTACAAAACTAATATATTAAATAATGGGTGTGTAATGGATATTGCTTAGAATAAGTTGATAGCCCGGGCCTGGAGTTGGACTTCCTCAAGCCACTTCTTCCTCCCCACCCATGTTCCAGTTTACTATACTCTGGCCACTCCTATGAATTCGTAATTATACGTTGTATCTTCGAAATATCGAAGTGGTGGTAACGTAGCGGAAGTTTTCATATTCAAAAAAACACGATGAACATGAACACCCGTTAAATACTTTTCACAGATACAGGTGGCAGGACCTCTTGTGAGTCCGCACGGGTAGGTACCACCACCCTGCCTATTTTTGCCGTGAAGCAGTAATGCGTTTCGGTTTGAAGGGTGGGGCAGCCGTTGTAACTATACTGAGACCCTTAGAACTTATATCTCAAGGTGGGTGGCGCGTTTACGTTGTAGTTGTCTATGGGCTCCAGTAACCACTTAATACCAGGTGGGCTGTGAGCTCGTCCACCCAATATAGATTTGGACCTAGAATACGATTGGAAACACGCTATATATTGGCGTCGCTAAGCGCAATAGTCAAAGGACGCGTCGAAAGCATTTGAATATTCGATCATAACTTTTAATTAAAATTACTTTTATGGCTTAATCTCGCGTTCTTTGACTAGCTCGGTGGTGCAGAAGTTAGGGTTTCTGACTGAGAATAGTCAGTGGCTACTGCGATGAGTTTCTCGATGAATTTGAGGCATGTTTGCGTGTCACATGGCCTTATCGAAGTAGCGTTCCGACGCTGACTTCGCATGGACTACAGGACTCTACAACGCATCTATTGTATTATAGTGATATCAGTATTTGAGTACCGTACATATAGGCTGACAGCAAATGTACAGAAATCTATAAGCTTTGCACTTTTTTCTGCAAGATATTATGTCTACTTTGTACATATGAATCGTTCACACACACGCACACGTGTTAGGTACACACTAAATGAGGAATAGAGCACGCGAGTCCCACGCGGTTAATTTGATATCAGGTGTACCACGCGGCTTAGTGCGCGTTAAATTATAAATTAAAAAAACACGCGTGATTTACTTTAAAGAATAGATAAATGACAAATGAATATATATAAATAAAATGCCACACGGACAGGTATACTTCTTTTGTATTTCACAATTTTAGAGGCTTTAAAGAAAAACATCTCCACATGTACGTTTAAGGTAATAAAGTAATAGTTAGTCTAATGGTCCAAATTTGAAATTTTTATGTTCATCAATGTTGACTGTGCTTTAGCAGTGAGCGGTAGAGCTTCGGTAAAAAATAGAAAAAAAATCTCAATTTTGTGTGTTTGAATAGCTTTTTTTCATTCTTATTACTTATACCTTTGGGAGACGTTCAGTATCCTAAGATTTTTTTTTATTTATTGATTTTTATTGGCCTTGTAGGCAGACGAGTATACTGCCCACCTGATGGTGAGTGGTTACCGTCGCCCATGTACTTTACAATAGCAGGGGCAGAGCCATGCCGCTGCCTACCGCTGCCTTTTTCGCCGATTCACTGTGACCATTGGCAATCTATTTCTAACACGTAATTAAGACTTTTGCTATTTCGCTAACTTGTCGTCATTCCGATTTGTCTACTCTACGTCAAGCACCCTCACGACCCGGAATGGGTATCGGGGAAAACTTCTATATCTAGACGAAACCTTCACACCTTTTGAGGCAAGGGTGACGGGGCTGCTGGACGATTTATCATGCTTTAAGGCAAATACTGGTGGAAGGACCTCTTGTGAGTCCGCGCGGATAGGTACCACCGTCCTGCCTATTTCTGCCGTGAATGCGTTTCGGTTTGAAGGGTGAGGCAGCCGTATTAACTATACTTGAGACCTTAGAACTTATATCCTCAGGTAGGTGGCGGATTTACGTTGTAGATGACTATGGGCTCCAGTAACCAGTTAGCACTAGGTGGGCTGTGAGCTCGTCTACCCATCTCAGAAATAAAAAAAAATAAAAAAAAAATTGAATAAATTGAATACACAGATATAATGATTGTTGTTGTTGCTGTTGTTTTGTTAATTGTAAAATGAGGTTGAGGTTGACTGTGTGGACTCAATACCGGCCCATACTGCCAGTCTACCTCGTCTTGACATATGATCAAAATATTGAAGGCATTGGAATACGTATCATATGTTTTGTTTTCAAAATAGGTAAACATTCTCAAACCGTGCAGTCTCAAAATTCAGTAAAATCGCCATTGTTACATCAGAATTTAGTAGATTTTAGATAAAAGAAAGAAATTAATTAGATGATGACTTGAAGATTATGATAACAGTAAATATAATAACATAATTACAGGGAAAACACGCTTTGTTTGATTGATTTCCGTGCACCGATTTTTGCATATTTTTATCATAATCTTAGCAATTATTTTATTTTGATTAGGTAAGTAAATCTGGCGTGGTGTAACGAAGTGGAAACTTTAATGCTATTCATTACTATAAATAAAGTAGATTCACTGTAATTTGTGATGTAATATAACAGGAATCATTACCTATTATGGTACATAGAAGTGATCTCTATAGAAATTGCGTCGTCAAATTGGTTATGATCTCCATATTTTTATTAATAGGAAATTATATATCGAAATTAAACCGTAATTCGCATATCATATATGTGTCGTGGAGAGTCAAGTCCGAACCGATTTGGGCGTGTTTGAAAATGGATGTTGGCATCACTATGCAAGATCTCAATGTCAGTTGAGTTTGAGTGGTGACATAAAAGTGCTCTTCTCAGTCGTACACTCCTAGCGCAGTGGTCGTGGTTTTGTATGCCTTATTGCTTGGTTCTCTCTCTATTTGTGGCGGTAGGTCTACATTCAATAAGGGAACACTTAGTGACTTAATCAATTCTGTCCATCTTGTGGGTGATCGGCCGCGAGAGCGTTGACCGTCTACTCTTTCTTGAATCCTCAAAGTGTTACTTAGTAATTTAACATCACTATTGGACTGAAAAGCGAACCAAGCGGACATGCTGCCAACCTCGCTCCGGTCTCGCTGTAGTAATCCGTTTTTATCCGATTAGTGCGTGTTGTACCTATATGTACAAATNTTAATCAATTCTGTCCATCTTGTGGGTGATCGGCCGCGAGAGCGTTGACCGTCTACTCTTTCTTGAATCCTCAAAGTGTTACTTAGTAATTTAACATCACTATTGGACTGAAAAGCGAACCAAGCGGACATGCTGCCAACCTCGCTCCGGTCTCGCTGTAGTAATCCGTTTTTATCCGATTAGTGCGTGTTGTACCTATGTGTACAAATATATGTTTCATTCTGATACACTTAAAGATCAAAGTGTATTTGATTTCAATTATCATTGATTCATCTATTGTCAGTTTAGCAATTTTTTTTACTTCATATTATAAAATATTCTCGGTACTTTCAGGCTCTCCAAGCACCGGTCACCGTTCTCGTAGAACTCGTCGACATGCACCATGGCCCATAGACACAACTCACTGAGTTTCTCGCCAGATCTTCTCAATGGGTCGCCAATCGGATACGGTGGTAGATTCAGCGAATCTGCTCTTGCTATTAATAGTTCTCTCAGTTTGAGAGCCCGTGAGCTCACCATGTAATCCCGAAAAAAATAAATTCATCAATTAAACCATTAATACATTACATAGGTATATCAGATAAGTGCAAAAATAGTGTTAATATATCTAGATTCTGACAACACCGCAATTCAAAAGCAGGCGCTACGGAGATGTTAGAAAAAAAGAGTTTTCAAATGAAAATTTAAGAGCAAAGATTGTATATTTTGTGCAAAAGATTAGAAATTATTACAATAGTGAAAAGATACCTAGTTCTATTCTAATTGAGTACCCTGATCCTACTTTTATAATATTATTTTATAATATTATTATTTAAACAATCAATATAAATTAGATAAATAATCTATTACGGTTTCTCGAGAATGCTTGAACCGATTCTGGTGTTTCTTGTTATTCTCCTCTGTGCCGCTGCACACCGGCCGGCCGGTGCCTTGTACATCAAAATTATGCGCTTGATCATTATTTTGCTGCGATGTTATTTTAAAACTGCGATATTTTATCTTCTTATACTCATTAAAATACTCATAGCGAGATATTAATTAAAATCAAGTGAGGAGAAATTTCTTTAAAATTAAATACTTGTAATGAATAACGTATTTATTAGGAGTTAAAGTATGAAATTGCCGATTTGTACTTCAAAATTGAAATTCGTTTTTTTTTCATTTAACATATTTATTTAATCAAAATATCTACCATTATTATCTATACATTGCTGCCATCTAATAGGAAGGTTATTTATGCCTTTGCGATAAAACTCTGGTGATCTAGATCTTACTAACTGTGTGAAAGCAGTTTGTACTGCCTCCTGGGAAAGAAAACTTTTTTCAACGTAAAAAATGGTCCAAATCACGAAAAAAATTTCAGTCCGTTGGAGCAAGGTCTGGCGAATACGGAGGCTGACGAATGGTTTCTAATTGCAGTTCCTGCACCGTTAAAACGGAAACCTCTATTATGAATATCTCTATTATGGAGCAATAATGGTGAAGATCGATTCATGTCGTCGTGGCCTAAAGGATAAGACGTCCGGTGCATTCGTATGTAGCGATGCACCGGTGTTCGAATCCCGCAGGCGGGTACCAATTTTTCTAATGAAATACGCGTTTCATTCTGCAGATCAGTCAAATCATGAGGCAACTATTTTTCAATTTTTTTATTTTATTGATTTGACGCAAAATGAGTCAATTTGTTGGTAAGGTAACGTTAAAGCATGTCGCTAATTCCTGGGTAGTTTGGCTTGAATCGGCTTCCACCATCTCTTTCAATTCATTGTTATTCACATGTACACAGGCGGTCTTCCACGTGGTTCGTTCTTTAAATCAAAATTTTCATCACGAAAGCGGTTAAACCAAAATCGCATGGTACGTTTATTAGCAGTCCCCTCTCCAAACGCAACATTGCTATTGCGAGCTGTTTCTGCAGCGTTACTTCCGCGTCGGAGCTCGTATTCAAAAATCACTCGAATTTTCGAAGTATCCACCTTTCTTGTTTAAGGTGAATAAAAAAAAACAACTGAAAGTCGATAATCGAATGTTGCACATTTTTTAAAAGATGAACCTCATAGGTAGCATTTGAAAAAAGTTTCACTCAAAAATCTCAAACCATGAAGGTTCTATGTCAATTCGAAGTACTTATTACAATAAAACGGTAATTTCATACTTTAACTCTTATTATTTAGATGGGGATTAATATCATCTTCGTAAAAACACCTTCACAAATAATGCTTTATTTTAGAACAAATTTGGTTAGCATATAAAACGTTATAGTGAGCCAACCTTAAAATATAGAGATATGCTGTCGCGGATTTTTAGAACTTTTAAAGGGGAACAAATTTGTCATACTTTTAACCGTTTCCGCAGCGCACGCAGCAGAAGCTCTCAAAAAGTAAAAAAAAAACGATTTTGAAACATTCTTTATTAGTGCTCCGTTTGTATTGGTCTTAGCGTGATGTTAGATAAGCCTTCCTTAAAAAGTGAGCTTACTAACACTGAAAGAATTTTTCAAATCGGACCAGTAGTTCCTGAGATTAGCGCGTTCAACCAAAGAAACAAACTCTTCAGCTTTATAATATTAATATATAGTAGTAAAGATGATTCTTCTGTCTTAAAGAGTGAGCTCCAGTCGTGCGTCGTAATCCGTAAAGAAAAAGAAAATTGTTGATATCAAAAATAATTTATTAGTTCATTGGAAGTATAATATAAATATGTTTGTCTCATTTGATTTAGAAAGGCCAGGCGTTGCGAGTTCTCAAACCGTAGAGGCCGGATCTGTAACAAAAAAATTAAGGGACTAATCTCAGATATATTATTTTACTAACAGACCCTTTCTTTCCTACCTAAGCTGGCCTTGAGAGGCTATTTCAGCGTAACCTTAACTAGTAGGTGAGTTCACGGGGCTCAAACCTGACGACGTTGGACGTCACGTTAGGTGTCCATCGCGGCCAAATAACGTGATACGTAATTTATGTATATTAAGATTACATTTAGTTTTAGGAACTCGAAAGGAGTAATATTTAAGGAATTTAATGTGAAAATTAGCTAGAAAAAAGAAGCTATTTCCGTTTTTGTATTCGCATAATTCCCATTTCGAATTGTCTTCACAAGCTTCATTAGGATAGGTCTTTGAATATTAAATATTATGATTTATTTATGTGTGTGTTAAAAGAACAAGTTAATAAAGTTTAGGTGTTTGAGAGCTTGTGATAATAGTTCAAAAAAAAGGCTTATCATTTTATATTAAAAGTGTGTGTGAATGAAAGAGATTTAGGATCAAATCATTTTAAAAATAGCTGTCTCTTCGGCTTTTGATTCTACTCGAGTCATTGCTACTACTATTTCTCGTCGATACGCAATGACGGTATCCCGTTCTAGTTTGAAAATACAATTGGGATTTCAATTTTATGTGTCATAGAAGGCGAAAACATTCATGTAAGGGTAGCCATGAGTTCCGACGATAGATCCTAAGTCGTGGTGTTGTTCGTGGTCCGCATTTGCTTATTTCCTTAATTTTAATAGTTATATGAAAAATTTAGAATATTCAATTAGTGTTTCAAGACATAAAATGCTGTCTTAGTTATCTTACCCACGCTTCCCGAAGTTTCCGTTGCCCATATGCAAAGTTCCGCCATTGCAGTTGGAAAGTTCGGCTTCCCAGATGTTACCACAGCGTCTTCCAACCAAGTGGTTAGTGCGAACACTGGATGCCATTAATTCAGTGGCGCGACCGTGTGAGCAGGTGTTGATCCGGCATCCGGGTTGGGGGTTCCTGCCGCCATTCGGGTAGAAGTCGGCATCACCGCTGGGGTTGAAAATACCAAGAGCACGGCCGTCCGTGTGGATGCATTCGACGTAATGACCAGCATTGCGGTTGAGTGCGTTAGAGTTTCCTCCCCACTGTGGTCCGGCGGGGTCCAAACCTTGTTGATAGAGTTTTAATAAGTAAAATTGCAAGCGAAGTTTTCTTTAAATACCTATATGTAAAAATTTGTTTTTAAGTTTTGTGAAAGAATTGTCATTTACAACAGGATTATTAGGTTCGAAAATTGTAATCTCTGTTTAGATATGAATGGACTTCGGTTACCAAATCAATGACTAAGTTGAACCGTGAAATCGTCTGCTTAATTAAATTATTTTAAAAACCATTTATCGTCTTGTTTGTGTTTTAAAATAAATATTTCTATAAAATAAGACTAATGCTTAAATAGTATATTGAATGATACAAATTTTATTAAAAGAAAATTACCAGTAACACGTGCAGGGCGACCACCGGCTTGGCGTCCGGCATTACCAACGACGTGAGCACCTAAACTGAAGCCAATAAGATGCACTTGGTTCCAATTGCCTCCAGCATTGTTGATGAGCCAAACCAAAAAGTTGCCGAGGGCACGACCGACATCTGGGACGCCAGCGGCGGCAGTATTGTAGTTTGAATTGGCAAGTCTGTGCCAGTCAACAACGATGACATTAACGTCTTGAACGGCAAGGAAGGCCGATCTGATGAGAGGGTTCATCTGAGTGTTGCCATTGTTGTTCCATCCGTGGACAATGACAACGGTACCGCGGTTGGCGCGGTAGTGTGAATTCCTCACGGAGTTGATGTTGCCGTTCACGAGCACCTGGCGATTGTTTTGGTTCTGTCTAGAAACAAATATTTCAAAGTCATTCTATTGTGAATCCTTTATTTTTAGGAAATTGAAAAAAGTCTCGCACTGATTGGTTCCACCGACATGCTAACTACTGTGTTATGAAGCAATAATAGGTTATGAAGGTAGGGTGGCTGTTATCTAAGCAACTGAGGCTTAGACTTAATGTATTTTTTTTCCTTACCTCTTCGCTGGTAGCCTAAGAGGCTTCGGAGGATTCTTTTTATCATGGCTATTAGAATGGCAAAAGTTGTGTTTGATTATGACCCAATAAGAATAGTAATAATATTTATATACATGAATTATTACTTGAGAAAAATTAATCTAAATTAAAAATTGATTGGTATAACTAACCTGGTGAAAAGCCAGTACTGATTATTGGCGCCGCTTCTGGAGCCCAGTAATTCATAGTCGATGGGTTCATGCAGGTCCACTAGCTGCGGAACACCTTCACCATCAGGCATCCAGATGTAACGGCTTTCTCCCTCTACATAGTGACTATTGTCTCCGGGAATCGTAGGGATAGCTACTCCAGAGCATACTAAAATTTGTGCTGGATGGTTAGTGCGAATTACAGGCTAAATTCTTTTGCATATACGGGCTTTGTTAATGAGTAGGGCATAATAATAAATAAATAAAATAATAATAAATAGCTGGTCATCTGGCCCAAAACGAGGATTCCCTGTGTTATCGGTACCAGAGACTGACATACATACTTATAATACATGTACGTTTAAATATATCCATATATAGATAATCAATACCCAGACAAAGATCACATAAAGTAAGTTCATCACACGAATGTTTGCCCGATATGGGAATCGAACCCACGACCCTTGGCGGAACAGTTAGGAGCGCTAACTACGACACCATCGAGTCAGTCAAACATAATAAAAGTATTATATGTAATATTATACTGATGGTAGGCATGCTCTTGATTGTAGGCGATCTGTAAGTACGCGACGGCAGGCACCACATCGTGCTTATTTCTACCACAAAATAGTCATGTATTCGGGTTTGAAAGATGGGACCATTTACTTCATAGTTGATCATACGTCTATCGTCCATTCGTCCTCCTATCTCAGGGTGGCGGTTCAAACAGTGATTTATAGGATTGCGGTGACGTATCGTGTAGTGCATAGATCAGGAAAGGTGAAGAGGTTTTACAGAAATAGAAAATTAAAAAAAAACAAATTTACCGATTTTGAAGGACAATTAAGATGTTAAATACTTAGGAAGTCTCATAGCGTCGGAAACATACAAGATATAAAGGTACGAAGAGATAGTTAAAAAAAATTGGTACGTTAGACAGACTTACTAAACAATAGGCCGGAAAAATGACATGATTGCCAAAAAAATGAAAAATTATAAACGCGAAAACAGTTAAAACATAGTCTTAAATGGTTTACAACTAACAGCAGGTAGCCATTTACATACGGGAGAATGAATACATTATTGATGTGCGAGTCGAAAGGTCGAAATAACAAATAAATTGAAAAACAAGCATTTGTATATAGGATTAAAATTAATACGTACATGTAACTAAACCAGCAAGCGCTATGAAGAGCTTCATGATGTCAAACGGTATATTTATGGAAATCAAATAAATTCAACTATTTATATAAAAAAAAATTAATTAACTGTACAACTTAATCTCTGATTAAGTTAATTATTTGTTCATAAGAGTCAAAAATTATCAACAAATAATTAACCAATTTAAAATTAAAATTACTTTTATTGATAAGAATAATTAAAATTATAGGCGTAATCTGATTTCAAGTGCATTAAAAATTTAATTTATTAAGAAACGAGAGTGTTGATGTTAAATTTTATGCAGTACCATAAAAAAAATGTTTGAATGATCGTTTAATTAACAGGATATGGTAGTCGTCTTGGCCTAAAGAATAAAACGCCCATCCTTATCTCGACCCATATGACTATGTCGACGTTCAAAGTCCCCATAGCGGGTATTATATAACTTCTGTCTATGGAATGAGCTCTCCTCCATGGTGTTACCCGCGCGCTATGACATGTCCTTCTTTAAACGAGGCTTGTGGAGAGTATTAAGCGGTATTTGGCTTGGCTCTGCCCCCTTTTTTTTGGACTAGATTCCGAATCTCCTACGATGTCCCCACGCCTAGAAGGTGCGCGGGGTATGTGGGGCTGGTCCACGACTGCGAAACCGCGGGCCCAAGGATGATTTCAGGACCCTACTCACTGCAACTCCCCTGCACTCTTTTCGTCCGATCCCCTCCGAGGTCAGAATCCAGATGAGGTAAGTAGGTTACCGCGGTCAACGCTACAACTAGACGGCGCAGCTCACCCCAAGGTCGTCCGGCCGACGAGTCTTGGAGGCGAATCGATGGCTCTGAAACGTCGGCCGTCTCGGTACAGCAGCCCGTCAGCCCGCCCAGACCGACCAGAACCAGCCTGCCGGGTCGGGACGCGATACACCGCCAACCGGTTGCTCTCTTATCAGGATGTTGATAATTCTCCTTGGCAGAGCGCTAGAGTGCTGTTAGATCGCCGCGCGGCCTCGACCCCATCAGGTTGCTCCATGACCTTTACCGGGGGAAGCCGCCATCTACAGGGGCCGGGACATAGCATCGTAGTAGAGCAACGCGCCAATGTGTGTTCTGCTGTATCATCTTGGCATTCCTTTTTTTTTAACCTTGAGATGCTATGTCAACGTAACCTAGCAAGTAGGTGAACTTAGTAGGGGCTCAAACCTGACGACGTTACTACTACTAACCCTAGCCAGTGCAGTGCGGGAAAGATACTGTTCGTCATATCGACAATGAAAATAGATGCCAACATCACGATGAGTGGTAATCGGGGGTAAGAATGTTAGGAGGGCGTGAGTGTGAAGTCGTCATGGCTTAAAGGACAAGACGTCCGGTGCATTCGTGTTAAGTGATGCACCGGTGTTCGAATCCCAGGCGGGTACCAATTTTTCTAATGAAGTACGTACTTAGCAAATTTTCACGATTGACTTCCACGGTGAAAGAATAACATCGTGTAATAAAAATCAAACCCGCAAAATTATAATTTGCGTAATTACTTGTGGTAGGACTTCTTGTAAGTTCGCACGGGTAGGTACCATCACCCTGCCTATTTCTGCCGTGAAGCAGTAATGCATTTTGGCTTGAAGGGTGGGGCAGCCGTTCTAACTATACTGAGACCTTAGAACTCATACCTCAAGGTGGGTGGGGGCATTTACGTTGTAGATGTCTATGGGTTCCAGTAACCACTTAACAGCAGGTGGGCTGTGAGCTCTTCGACCCACCAAAGCAATAAAAAAAAAATGTGTTGTCAGTCTTATGTTATATATACTAGCTTTTACTCGCGACTTCATTTACGTTTAGTTAGAAAGTGAAGATAGTTTTGAATAATAGAATTTTAAGGAGCTATTTAAGGTACCAAAGTCACGCTTTTTAGCCAACTTCAAAAGAGGAGGCTATCAATTCGATCACCATTTTTTTTATCTATGTATGTTCACCGATTTCTCGAGAATGTTTGAACTGATTCTGATAATTAATTTTTATTTTTTTTCTTCGAAAGGGTAGACTTCCCGAATGGTCCTGTAATCATCAAGATCTGATGATGGGGTTCTGGAGAAATCCGGAAAAATCTATAATTTTCAAAGCCTATCTTGAAGTGATTTGTGAAGTGAAGTGAGGGCAAATTTCTTGAAAATTAAATGCTTGTAATGAATAACGTATTTATTTGGGCGAGGATTAATGTTATCTTTATAAAAACACCTTCACAAATAATGCTTTATTTTAGAACAATTTTTGTTATCATAAAAAAAACGTTATAGTGAGTCAACCTTAAAATATAGACAAGTTTTTTTCATTTTTTTTATTGCTTAGATGACATACAAATATACAAAGATACACAGATACACATACAGATACAGATAGAGACATAAATATTTTGTTAGAAATTTTAAAGGGGAACAGTTTTGTCATACATTATTTTAGCGAAACTTTAACTGTTTCCGCAACGCACGCAGCGGAAGCTCTCAAAAGGGAAAAACCCGATTTTCGAAGCATTCTTTATTGGTGCTCCGCTTGTATTGGTCTTGGCGTGATGTTATATAGCCTATAGCCTTCCTCAATAAGTGAGCTATCTGACACTGAAAGAATTTTTCAAATCGGACCAGTAATTCCTGAGATTAACGCGTTCAACCAAATAAACAAACAAACTCTTCAGCTTTATAATATTAGTTTAAATAGTATTATATTATAATATGTTGTACAATACGTATATTGCAATTTTTCATGTTATGATGATTTGCTCGAATATTCATCGAGTATCAAGTTTCTCTATTGTAGGTATTTGAATTTTTATTTATTATTTATCAAATTATGAAGGACAAAAGACCCACGTAAAGCAATTCGTCTTAATTTTTAGCTGATAACATGATAACATAAGTGTAGTTAGTGTCACTTGCATCAACAAAATTTGATTGATTATAAGTGAATCACTTTTATCGTTTTAATTAAAGTGAACCTTATTTTTAGTAATTCGGATAAGATCGATTTTATAGATACAACATTTTTTATTCTGCTTATTAATTTGTTCCCTTAACTGAAGTTTTTTTTTCTTTCTTAGATGTGTGGACGAGCTCACAGCCCACCTGATATTAAGTGGTTACTGGAGCCCATAGACATCTACAACGTAAATACGCCACCCATCTTGAGATATAAGTTCTAAGGTCTCAGTATAGTTACAACGGCTGACCCACCCTTCAAACCGAAACGCATTACTGCTTCACGGCAGAAATAGGCAGGGTGGTGGTACCCATCGCCGCGGACTCACAAGAGGTCCTACCACCAGTAATTACGCAAATTATAATTTTGCGGGTTTCATTTTCAAATAATATAAAATGTTTTCAAATATGTATAATAAAATCGCAGATATTCCAGTAGCCATTTAAAATTCCAGAGGCACAGCCAAGTTATTATCCACTACATGGTACTTTATTACTATTACTTGCTTGAGGAACGAAACGTCGCTAGATTCCTTGTAGGGTCGGATGATGTCTGGTAAAAATGATTGCGGGAAACGCATTGTGGATGAATCCTGGTTCTGTGAGTTTTTGTTATTGAAGTTGTTAAGGCAAGAAGCGCCCGCGGAGTCTCGAGCTTCCGTAGCCGCTAAAATTAGCAAAACTGCAAACGCGTCGCGCCCCCGCCCTCCGACTCCCGTTGCGCCCCTATCGCGTGCCACACCGTCGCCGCGTCTGGTGGCACAATCCAAAACTTAGACCCCTCTCCCGATAATCCTTCATGAGAAGGCAGCTTGGGAGCGAGTTTCCCTGGCCCTTAAGGCCAAAAGACTTAATTTCACGTGTGCCCGTAACCTTATCGGTATCCAAATCAAGATTCAAACATCCGACGACCATAGGGCCCTCTCTTCTTACCTCCGTAAGGAGCGTATAAGTTTCTATGCGTATACGCTCCAGGAGGAGCGCGAACTCAGTGCCGTTATACGTGGCATCCCTAAAGAGTTGGATGCCAAGCTCGTCAAGATCGACTTTTTGGAACAATGTCTACCGGTCAACTCCGTGCACCGCATGCACACAGTACGCGGAAGGGAGCCATATAACATGGTTCTCGTCGCCCACCAGCCTACCCCCGGGGGTAAGCAAATATTTAACATCGGAACGGTCTGTAGGCTTCCCGGAATCACCGCCGAAGCCCCACACAAGAGAGGCACACCTAGCCATAATTGTCAATTATACGGGCATTCTTCCCGTAAGTGTCACGCGCGCCCCCGAAGTGCTTTTTTTTATTGCCCTTGTAGGCAGACGAGCGCACGGCCCTCCTGATGGTGAGTGGTTACCGTCGCCCATGGACTTCAGCAATGCCAGGGGCAGAGCCAAGCCGCTGCCTACTGATGTATTCGCGATAAAAAAACCGCGATAGGCTCACTGCTCGTGGTGGTGGTACCGTCATTTACTATAGAAGAGCGTGCATTGCGTCCCCCTCGATCCTCCCGCGCTCGCTAACATCGAAGCATCAGTGTGCCAAATCTCACTGACCGCACACGCGCCGATTGTCGCGTCCGTATATCTCCCACTTGATAAGATCGTTTTAAGCAGTGATATCGAGGCGCTGCTCGGCATTGTAAATACATCAGGTGAAACTCGCATACCACAACTTCTAACGGTAGATGTCTGTCTGGACGCGTTAGTTGATGATCTCGCTTTCGATATCGTGGCTCCGCTAACCCTAGACTCACTACCCGCTAACTATCGCGCATCGCCCGGATATACTCGATATAGCATTACTAAAAATGTGCATACGTTCGATCGAAGTAGTTTCAGAGTTAAACTCAGACCACCATACCGTCGTTATGAAGCTCGGTCGCGCTCCCGACTGCGTTACCGTCAGAAGAACTGTGGTGGATTGGCATATGTTGGAAATTAGCCTGGCTGAGTCTGACCCACCATCGCTCCCGTTCATCGCGGACTCCACCTCCTCCCCTCAGGATATCGCTGAAGCCATAGACATCGTAACATCACACATCACCTCGACATTAGATAGGTCGTCGAAGCAAATTGTA